GTTCCGTATCAGAAAACGTTCCAGTTTTAATTGGCAAACGAGACGAGCAATAGAACTGCTGTCTATTTTGCACGGCGTTATGTAAGGAGCTAACAACAACTTAGGGAACAAGAGAAAAGAGTCCTACCTTTCTCCAGCTCCTCCATGGTCCAGAATTCAACCGGAGTTCCCATTCTGTTTGATCTGATTGACTGTTACATGAACGATACGAACCGCAAGGAACACACACGGTACCACTAACGGCAGGCAAGTACGAAACACCGACCGGTCTTTCCCTGCAGCATCGCGCTTTCGGAATGACCTTGAAAATCTGTCAGCCGATTGGAGCGCTGGTAACGTAACGATTGAAACGTATCTGCGTACCGCGCGTGTGTGTGCGTGAATATCTCTGTGCCTCATGTATGTGCACGCGCGCCGTATCTTCTCCGGCTGCGCAAATCGAGCACGTGAACCAATTTTGTGTGGGATATACAACAACTTTGATAGACATACCCACGCACGTGCGCGCTTGCATACACACACACACACACACACACACTAACTGTCCACCAGACAAGCCTTGAAAACTGACACGCATGCATAGCCGTAGCAAGAAGAAAAAATTACGCTTATTGTCATGCTGCCTAGCACATTTGGTGTCCACAATAAATGTGGCAGTTCGGTTGGGATCGAGCCTGATCGTGACGGCCTATTTTTGTACTGCCAACAGATGGTGGTGAGCTGCCGAGATTCGTGCCGTTCGCGCCAAGTCCGAAATGAAACCTATTAAGCGGTGTCTTGTCATTTACAATCAAGTGTACACGAATTAGTTTAAGGAAAGAGGAAAACACAAATGGTCCTGTGTTATTTTTTATTTGGAGAATCGAATTGTGAGCGTGGTCATATCCTTACTTGGTGGGGGCCAGTCTAGACCGTGATACAAGTGAAAACAAACCGACGAAGAAATGATAATCAACACTGAAGGTTGACATTTGCTATGGAAAGAAAATCCAATTCCCCTTGGGACTCGTTCAATTCAATCCACTGGTGACTTGCAACCCTGACGGATGTTAGCCGCTAGTCGTCTCGGGAAACAGTTCATGCGTGATTGATCATTGCTTCGCTTAACCCATAAGACAAACTACTGTGATAAGAGAGACTTTTTCGAGTGTTTTTGGACGTCCCGAGTGATGTGAAAACTGACTGCTGAGCATTATTTTCCTCTTTTCACTGCGTGCCATCATGTGCAAAAGTACTGCGACTCGGAATGGTATTTGCTGTTCAGTGGAGGGTTGTGATTTGGACGTGGTTAGTCTATCAGGCATGCTTCGGTCTAACTCGGATCTCTGTATGTGGATATACATTGTACGAACGGATAATGAAGGTGCAAGTGAGTCTCGGGCGGTGCGATTCATCATCTGGGCGCACACAAAAAACAGGGTGTATTATGCAACTAAAAGTCATCGCACAGAGAGAGAAAGCGCGCGCAAAAAAAGAGTTTGTGTGGGAATATCTGTTTGGGAGATAATTAAGGCATCGGTAGCAGGGGCGTTTGATTTCTTCATTAGCCCCGAAAGTCAGGATCAAAAAGTCAGGAGCGTTCCACAGTCCCCCTCTCTTTGTACTGAGTGTACTAATGGCTACTTCTTCATGCATCGCTTGGGTTGACAGCAGAGAGAGAGAGATAACCAATTAGGAGACGGGGAACATGCATGATATCGTTTCGAGGATATTTATTGCCTGATAGAAACGATAGCAAGAGCATGCTATGA